CCACCCCAAGGTGAACAACGGAAAATCATTGTGTACTGAACGTGCCGTACCCATATCTTTATTCTTGATGTCCGTGCAGCAGTTTGTATATAATGAAGAAAAAGAATCATTCCATAAAAAAGAACACACAAGATACACAAGGTGTATCGGAAACGCAAGAGAGAAACACACAGATGCACATAACGTGCAATGTAATTATAATGAAACACACACACACAAGAGAAAAAAGCAAAATAATAAAAACAAAACAAAACAAAAAAAGAAAGCTGTGACCACCAAGTGAATATCTTCAGGAGACAAGCAACACAATTCCCAGCAGTAGGTGTGTGTGTGTGTCTTTCGTACAGGGCAACCAGCAGGAATGATGCACACATGATGACAGTCCACACACACACACAAGGAGAAGGAGGGTTGGTAGTGTGCGTGTTTGTGTGCGTGTTTGTGTGTCTTGAACCTCCTGCCATTCTTCACATTTCAGTCACAGTCATTAAAACATGTTGGGGAAATATCCCATTCCCACAGGTAAAAGCAATATAGTTATTAATATCACGGAACACACATATACACACTTCACTAGGCGGGCACAGTAAATGGCGGCAAAGCAGAGCCCAGATAATAATGCCAACAAAGAAAGAGAAGACTCCATCACAAAAAAATAGTTTGTCGTCTGATAAGTGCCATAGGGAGTCCAATAGATTCGTTCAGCAAAAAAATGCAAATAAGAGATTCATCAAACAGGATAATAATTTTTTTAAAAAGATTTGAGATTCAAGAAAAAAGAAAAATGCTTTTACAATGGATCCATATCCACTCAAACAAAGGTTAACTGTGCAGTTGCACCACGGGAACAACGATCAGCAAACGACAGTGCAGCCTAGCACACACATCGAAACAAGAAGCAGCAATAAGGGACTGTGCACCAATGCAGGACTGCTGCTGCTGTCACTTAGCTGTGTAACATTCAAATGGATTGAAACTGAAGAAGAAGAAGAATCAGATGACATTTTATGAGAATCCACAACATTAGTAGTAGTAGAGGTATTCAATGATTTATTGTCTTTATTAAAAATTCCCTTCGTGCCCTTATCTTCCATCCTCTGTTCTTTATTTGATTGGCTATCCGGCACGCGTTTTTGCGTTGTGGTATTGCTTTCCTTTGTTTTTATGTTATTCGCCCTTTCATCATTACTGGACTCTTTAGTTATTCCATTGATATTTGTCGTGTTCATATGCACATTCTTTACCTCTTCATGAGAGCTGTGCTGCAGTTGTGCAGTGTTTTCTTCTTCCGTATTGGTCTTCATTTCGTGTCTGCTCTCCAATTGGCTTTCTTCATTTTTATTCCCCGCAATATTCTGCTGTGAATCCGTTGTTGAGTCTTCAGGTTTAAGACCATGTTTCTCCAAGTACTTCTGGAAAGATTCCACTTCCGATTCCAGAGATTCTGCGTTCTTCTCCGCCTTCTCCGCAGCATCCAAGCCCCTTTGAACGCTCGATTTCACTTCATCAGCGAAAGACAGAGCGTCTTCACCTTCTTTTCTGCTAGCGAGAACCAACTTCTCCACTTCGAAATACCTGTCGGCCAACAAATGAGGTAAATCTGCAGGAGAACGCATAAATTTATTGGCATCGGAGACGAGAGTCTTAGCAAGTTTTTCCATCTCAGTTAATGTCTCGTTAATTTCTTTGGCCGCCTTTCTTGTTTTGTTCACTGCTAACTTGGCATTAGATAGGACAACTTTGGCTTCTTGTAGTGCAGCTTTCTCCTCCTTCCACTGTTCTTTCATTTCCTTGGGACTCGTAGAAGTGTTATTCGGACTCATCTCCGCCTCCTCTCTTTTGGTGAGGCTCTTCAGTTTCTCCACAGCTTTATCAGCAAGTGTAGAATAATCATAACAACGACCAAGTCCACTCTCCAAAGCAAATGAAGATTCTTCTGCAGTAATCCGTAACTCCATTAACACTTTCCGCATATATTTAAACTCCTCATCCTTCTGGTTAAAATAATCCTCATTTACACTTGAGCGACTTTCCGCATATGCCACACACGTACAGCACTGCACAAGTACCAACAGGTACACCACGCGGCGCAGTTGGACGAACATCGTTGTCATGATTGTCACTGTGGGTTGCTTGGGTCTGTGGTAACAAGGAAGAAGAGGAGGAGAAACAACAAGAACACAAAGAGCAGTGCAAACACAACATCTACACAGACACACACAGGAAAAGCAGCGCAGTACAGGAAGCAGAAAAGAGAATAAGAGAAAAGAAAACAAGAAGAAATATTCCCCCATCAGGTGCAGTACAAACCACACCAATGTGACTGCACTCCACAGTCACACAGATATGTCTCTTACCAAACCCCAATACAATTAAAGCCCGTGTATATATATAAACATATATAAAGAAAAGAACAATAAATTATTTCACTCCCTTTTTAGGAGCCTGCATCACCAAACACGTACATTTGGTACAAACGAGCATGCAGTCAAATGCCCAACAACATAGTTACAGTGAGGGAAGGGGAGACAAACAAAACAAAACGAAAAAAAACTTACACAGTGAATTCAATTACAACAAAAAAACAAGCACACACAAGAGAGGGGAAAGTATATATATATATATCAATAGCTCTGCAGATAGCTGCGCACACTCGCAGGTGCAGCACAACAGTCCAGCATCACAGCAGCACACCACACGTGTGCACGGGAACAGCCAATGCTGCAGAAGGGAAACAAAAGTATACAAGCCAGGGGTGGCGCACAGAACCTAGTCAAGAAGTATAATTAAAAAACAAGCACACATGCCCATAAGGCTAATAGACCTCAATGAACCCCAGTCAAGCAATCGTCAACGGTCAGTGCGTCCCTGCGCCGCAATATCAATCAACCCACTGGCCATGCAGAGAAAGAAACACGCAAAGAATATAGAGGGATTCACCGTCGCCATGCACACATCCACCAGCAGCTTCCATTAGAACACCGCAGTGCAGCCCAGCACACACATCATAACAAGAAGTAGCAATAAGGGACTGTGCACCAATGCAGGACTGCTGCTGCTGTCACTTGACTGTGTATTAT